ATTAATCATGCATCTTACGATATTTTTATAGTTTTTAGATTTTTATAATTTTTTTTCAATATATGTATATGACTTTTTGAGACACAAATGATTAAAAGGTAGTTGATTTGAGGAGGAACGGACTACACTAAACAGATATATTAAATACAGGCACTCTGGTCATATCGCGTATTACAGAGTGTGCTCAGATGAACAAGATTATCTAGTTATGTAAGTCATTTACGTAGCATTCTCGTCACGCTGGGCTATTCGATAGCTATCGATTATTATGATTAAATCGACGTATCAGCGTATCATATCGCATGAATTTCACGAATTGCGTCCATCCGTATCGGCGATAACGAGAAATATTGCAACGGGTTATTTAAAGCTCGGTAAACCCCACTGATGTGTCTGTCTCATAAGAAAACACAGGAATCTGATTGCGACAAAAAATGTATAATGTATGTTACTTTAGAATGTACAATATAATTTAATCTAATCCGACCACAAATTTGCACTCTGTATATCAAATATTTTATGGGAGATCTCTGAAACATCTTGTATTACGACGAGAGAGTCTGATATATCGCATATACAAAATCACATAAAAATACCCGTCGGATTCACTGATTGATTAAAGAGTTTCTAAAATCTGGATTCTAAGAATTTTTTGGCAGTTAAAAAAGGAAGATCGTTCGAATATACAATGTAATAATTTATCCGCTCAAATGTCCAGGGATCATCGTACGCGATAATCGTCGTCGTAAGTTCAAGTTTAGCGTTGTGTTGTGACACTTTTCGTGTGCTGTTTTGGTGGAGTAACAAATTGGTAGGCTTAACCGCGGCATTTCTCGGTTCCTGGATATACACACACATCACAGACGACGATGAAAATCGGCGTGACAAAAATAGCGCGGCCTGGAGAGTCAAAGAGGATGACGAGTGAGAATAGAATGAGTTGCGAGAGAGCGTTATTTCAATTAAATTGACCGACACAGATTAGCGATATAAATCCTGCACACCGTCGTTCTAAATTTAATGCAACCGTCGCGCGGTTAAAAAAAGGCATTCGTATATTTATGGCGCGACAATTTTTCCAAGCCCGAATTAAACGAGGACTGACTGTATCATCGCCATTTTCACAGCTTTCGGCATTAATTTAGGTGTAATGGTCAATGCCAATATTGTATTCACGATCATTTACACGGCGGATATTCCAGACGAATACGGATATGCAAAATTGGTGCAGAAAATACGAAGATAAGACGGGAAATGTGATAAAAATATAATGAAGAATTTCACCGCGTCAGAGAGAGAGATCGATGCCGAAATTTTCACACGAATTCACGACTTTGGAATCGTCAAATGATAAATTTATCATGTCCGTCTAGTATCATCGGTTTACGGTTTGCCTTACCATTTCCGCAACTTGTGTATTACGTCATTGATACGCGATACAATTATCAAGATCGACAACTTAATAAGTCGTTCTTAATTGAAAGCTATTTTAAGATAACGTAGATAATTGTACAAGTTACACAATTTCAATAATTTCAATAATTTCAATAATGTGTACGAAAACGTCCTTTTCCGGCATAAAACTGAAAATCGTGACCTTTCGTAAAAACAGATAAAAATTTATAAGAATAATTGAAGCGCAATTATAGTCTATTAATATTTAATTTAACGAAAATTGTGAAATATGACGATAATAAGTATGTACTGACTAGTTAGTAATAAATTTTCTTTTTTTTGTTCTCTAACCCGTAAGTAGAGTGACACTTACTGATAACAGGGCGTTCAATTTTATCTAGCACTTTAACAACACGTGTGTTACGTGTAAAGTGCTTGTAACATAGGCACGTTTTCCGCGCGCCGACATTCCTTCTCATATATCTTTGATATTCCTTTTACCTGCACTTACTTGTGCCAACAACACATTTGTCGCGCGAATAGAGATTTTTTTTTCAAGCCACAGTATCTTGACAAATTTCATATACGTCAAAAATAAAAAAAAAGCGAGAGAGAGAGATTTATTCGAATATCTACATATATGACAGGTAGCAGCAAAAAAATGTTGCACGCGCAGCACTTTTCGCGTTGAAACGCGGCGGCAAATGCAGCGAGACACCGCTATCATGACAAAAACCTTCGTTGTTAGTAAGACAAGATAATTATTCCGCCGAGCGCTCGGCTCTTCGATCATTTAGGCGTGGCAACACATGTTCTCAGTTCAGCGCTCTACCAGCGCGGCATATATGCACACACGAAGAGAGAGAGAGAGAGAGAGAAGGTATATACATACGTACACCTATATGCACCGTGTCAGGACACGTGGTATACGTGAACCTCTCTTGCCTTGTGCCAACGGCTATTCATTTTCGCGACCCTGTCCTCTCTACTCCGCGAGATTCTTCCCCCTATACAAATTATTCGATACGCCTTGCGAAAACGGGTTAACGACGCGTCGCGCACACATCGTAATTCCGAATAGCGAGAATTATTTATAACAAGCCCGTGATCGCGCAAGCGTGCGACATTAGTCGATCGTAATTTCCGCATGTGACATCAACGTTGCGTTAGAACCGGGGTTAAGTGGGCAAAGTTGCTTTATAATCGTTCTGACAACGTTTTGCTTCGCGCATATCATTACACAGTCATAATAAGGACAATACACTCAGTGAAATTATGTATACAAGGAAAACTGTATAATTATTTGTTAAAAATTAAGAAGGATTTTTATATACTCTTCCCCATATCCTTTCTTGAAGAGTTACATTCCTCCAAAAGAGGAGGTAAGAATTAGATTTTTAATTATTTTTCTCAAATTTTGGCATGTTAAAAAAATAAAATTTGGTGGATATTTTCTACAAATAAAAAAGAAATTTAATATTTTTTCAATCTTCCCATATTGTTATAAGAAGATGAAACTAACAACTCCTATTTAATTTTTTTTATTAAAATTTTTAACCGATCGGAATATAATCATCTAAAAATATTCGTTAGAAAGCTTGAGTCTTTAGAAACTTTTATATTTCTTTTATTTTTTGTTAGCAAAATCAATGATTTTCAAGAAAAAAATAAAAATTTAATCTTCTTTCCCCTTTGAAGAAGTGTAAATCCTCAGGGAGAGATATAGGAGTATATGTCTATGAAAAACTCTTAATTTTCGACATAGAATCTAAAATTTTTCACACTTATTTAGAAACACCATGTATATATGTATACATATGCGAGAACCAACATATGCACATCACTTTAACGTATAATCATTAATTACATTTTACTTCCAAAAAAGCATCTTAAATTAATGCTTCGAATAAAGATTTCATTGAAATGAAAAACGCGATTTCCGAAACATCATTAACATACAAAGAGACGAGGAGAAGCTCCGCAGAAAATTATACACATAGACAACAGATCAGTTTATTAATAAAAAAATTAGTTTGCTTTTTCAATTATTAATATAAAATACTTGAAGGAAGAGAATATATTTTTGTTATCGGTGTAATGAAACACGTCATTGGCAAATGTGATTTAGCAGACCGCAGACGGATCTATTGCAAGCCAAGTATAAATAATATCGTGATTGTACACGTCGATCATATAACTTGTGTGCATTAAAAAAATTTTACAAGGTTTATCAGATTTTTGATATTTCTAGTTGCTCACTAGTTTAATTATTTTGGTGCAAAATAAAACAAATATGCTGGAAAAAACTGTCTGGCAGAAAATAAATATTCGCGAAAACTTGTTGCTATATATACGTTCTATTTTTTTATCATATAATTATGCGCTATACAAAATACATATTAGTTTTACGAATTATAAAAAGGAACGAAAACCGAATTAAATATATAACGATGTTAACAAAATAGAATAATTGAAACGCGTTTATATATACTAGTACACGATTCTTTTCGTTGATTTAATTCATCATCTGGTTGTACAATTAAAGAAATAACACGACACATCGCGTAAACGTTACAAACACGCAATAAATAATTCTGACCGCGGTTGGAAAAAAAGATCCGTTTCCTACGTCGCGTTGTTTTTAAACCGAAACATTAAATGTATAGATAAATATAAACGATGTTTCGTACGTGTCGCGCACTATTTATCGCTACAAATTTACTTAACTATTGGATAATTATCGATTCTTTTCCTCATTTGATAAATGAGTGACTTGTTGAGTAAAATGTGTAATTCTTTACAATGGTATACCGAAAAAAAATAACAACATATTTGATCCAAACGGATCCAAAGTGTGAAAATCGGAGTCGCTTCGAAAAATGTCAGCGACGCGATCTCTAACATTATATAACTAGCTTGATTTATCTAGTCGCTTATTACACGTCTCATTACGGTCGCTTATTAATCGTCGACTCGGTACAATGATCTCGAATCACCCGCGTCGATCGACGATTTTCTTTTGTCGACACACGTATCTGGCGCGCGAAATCAAAGTCTCGTGGCATATCTCAATTTTTTTGTCAAAGACAGGGCACTCCGAGTAATTTTAAAAACGTTCAAAATATGTCAAAACTTTCTCTGTTCGAAATAAAATACAGAAGGGACTTAGTACTCTTAAAATATAGAGAAAGAATGTTCAACGCCCAGTAGCTGCTATGAAAGAAATTGTCACTGTGCGATATATCGAAAACAAGTAGTTGGTACTCAATTGGTACTCATACATTGATGAAAAAGCGAACAATTATGAAGTTTGTTCTTTTTAGCTGAACTTGCTGCACTAGTTCAGAATTTATCTTTTTTTCTCTCAGCGTAAAGTAAAAAAAAATAAACTCTAAACTAGTGCAATCAGTCCAGCTAAAAAGAACAAACGTAGGCATTGACAGAAGAGTTAAGATTGAACACGTGTGCAAGTGTTCAAGTCAAAATTTTCGCACGATCAGTGTCCCACGCGTGCTAAACGTCAAAGTTGACACGATCACACAATGAAACTTAGACGGAGAACTATAACGTATTCGGCATGCTCGATCAAGCCGAGCTGCTCTCACCTGTAGATTTGGCGATCCTCGGAAGGAGAACTGTGACATGATGTGTCGGCCGCTCAGGGCCGTGATGATCAGGCGCCGCTACGCGATCATCGTTTCAAGAGTCCACGGCATTCGCTGAATTTTCGTCACTTCCCGACGCTCCCGTCACTTTCGTCGAATCCTCCGTGCGTTTCGCACTCTCTCCCTCTCCCTCTCTCTCTCCTTCTCACCGCGCCACCCTCGCGAGGGTGCTACTCGCACCGACGACGACGACACTCTCGCGCGTCCCGTCGTCGCGACCCGATGGTGGTGATGGTGCTCGACTGCACGCGATCCTGCCGGAATCGCTGATGGTCCGTTGCCGGCATATGCACACTGTCGGGATACACTGTCAACACGCGCGGGAACAAGTTGGAGACAGTCGCGTCAGTTCTCAAATCTTCTTGGGTGGAACTTGTGGGCGCGTGTCGGACACACACTCGCGAAAGAACGAGAAAAACTGGGACAGAAGGTGCCGAACAACTAACCGTAGTATAACGAACAACTGTCGAACGAACACAGTCCGCGTGAACACTCGCCGGGATCACACTCGCGTAGAGCCGAAGGGGGTCACCTCCGGGCGCCGGAGGTCCCTCCCGGAGAAAGAATGCGAGCCGTTGGCCGGACGCGCACCACGAGTCGCGCTACCCCTCGGGTACTCTCGCGGAGGAGGGAACAAAAAAAAGAAAGGTCGCGGAGGGCACGCGCAGCGCGCGACGCGTGATACTTGTGTACGCGCGCGATGCGGTTAGTCGCGGCGGCTAGTTCACTTGGGTTGATCCGATCGACGCGCCAGCTATGATCGGTCGCGACTATCCTCCGAATCGTCGTTTCTTTTCGACGGAATCCAGTCCTCCGCTCGGCGGATAGGAAGGCGGAGGTAGACGTGAGTGCGAGCGAGAGAGCACGGGAGCGCGACGGGAGGGAGCGAAAAGGGTGGACGGAATAGAGGGAACGAGGGACGGGGCGGCGAGGGAGGGGGAACGGGAGGGAGGAGGATAGAGAAATAGAGCGGTAGGTAGGTTGAGCGCGAGAGGGTGTCGGAGGGACTCCGCTGAAAAAGGAGAGAAATGACGAGAAGCGAGAGAGAAAGGGAGGGAGAGAGAGAGAAAGAGAGAGAGAGAGAGAATGAGTGAGGGAGAGTGGCGAGGACGCGACGCTGAATCACGCGCGCACCGACCGTCTCTTTTTATCCCCTCGCGGGTCCTTCCACGCAGCCGGTCGCTCAACGGCCTGCGCAATCACGCGCTCAGCGAATTCGCGAAAGAGCGGCGCGCGCTCGTCTTCTTATTCTTCTACTTCTTCTTCTCCTCTCCTCTTCTTCTTCTCGTTCTCACCGCGCCCGCGATGCGCTTACCTGCCGATCCGCCACAGCAGCTCTCGTGGCGCTACCGATCGCGCGTGCTCCGCGAAAGCGCCAAGTACGAACTGAACGGAGCTGCGTGTTGGCCTCGTGCAACACGCTCGTTGGTCGTTCCCGGCACAAGAGTCCCCGACAAAGACCAGACCAGTCGTATATGTTATTCTTACTTTGTATCTGGTTGTCCCCTTCCTTTCTATCTCTCGCTCTCTTTCTCTTTCACTCTGTAAGACCCTCCTCTTTTTCCGAGCGATGAACCAACTAACCAAGATCCAATCAAGCGTTTTTTCTCTATCCGTTATCTATACGTGCACTTGGACTGTCACATGGAGAAGATAACTTGGCCCCACATTCACTCGGACACGGTGACGAACACTGCCCGAAACGCGGGTCCCCCTCGCTCGCGGAAGAACGAAACGTGGCCCCCTGCAAGTTACCCACGAGATTCCGCGAGATGACGGTTGATCGCCGTGTCGTAGGAGGAGGCGACGTGGGTACAGTGCCGATGGCGCTGGCGGGTAGAATAACGATAGTAACGCGCTAGTGGTGGTGGCCCGATGACGAGGAGAACGGCTCCGACAAGAGAACTCTCTCTCGCCACTGACGGTGGTGGTGGCAGTTGGTGGTGGTAGAGAGTCGTCGCCGTGGTTCTTTTCCTTCCGCGGAAAGGGGAACGATTTTTGCGAGATGGTTTGCCGTCGACGAGACGGGTGGGAGGGTCCAGGTCGACGCGGCGCCCGATCTGGTGGGGGTACCGGCACCACCTCTGCCACACGCTCTCTCGCGGCCGCCGACAATCTCCTTGTCGTACCCTCCCCGCGCGCGCGAATTCATACGCGACGCGTAGCTTCTCCCGTATTAGCGCGTCGTGTGTCGTCGTGCGTTGCACTCTTCTCTTCCCGCGCGGAAATTCCCGTCGTAGGCATTCCCCTACGTGTCTCTCCTCGTCGAACGGAGCGGTTAGCGTCGGCAAACGCGACAATAAAATATAGAGTCGCCCGTGGGGCGCTCGCTGCGTTCTCTCCCTGCGTTCTCCCCTCCCCCTTTGCCGCGACGGCGAGTCGGAGTCTCTCTTCCGTCCTTTCCTCTTTCAGTTTTTCGTCTCTCGCTCGTTCGCCCAACAACCCGAATAGCTCGTCCTCGCTCATGACGCCCCACCGTAGTCACTTTCTTCCCTCTTCGTTCTCGGCTTTCGTTCGCATGGAGGGGATGGGTTGAATGGGACGAACGGGGGACGCGACCGGAGGAGATGCTGCCACGCTCCGATATGTGTGGTGGTGGGGCGAGAAGAGTGAGCGGTTGGCAGAGGGGACGAATGCGAAGGGGGGGACCCACGGGGGGAGTGGGTGGGTGGGTGAGTGGGTTGGGAGGCACGGAGGCAGAAACTACACGACAATTTTAGTTCGATAGATCCCGAAGTTTAGCCTCGGCGGCGCTGCTTTACTTGCCGCTGACTTCTTCCCGGTAGTTTGTTCGTTGCCCTCTCTCCCGTCGACTGATTCTCCACCACCTCGGACACGACCGCACACTCCGATCCGTGTCTCCCACCATCGGACCCCACCGTCTCGTCGTCGTCTTCTTTCTTTCTCTTTCTTACTGTTACCTCCTCCTCCTCCTTCTTCTCTTCCTCTTCCGCCTCCTCCTCCTTCTCTTCTTCCTCCTCCTCCTCTTCCTTCACCACGCTAGGACAAGATCGCCAACTACTTCGTGCCTCTTCCTGCTTCGTGCTCGGCGTTACCTCCGATGCCGTGCACTACTCTTCCTTATTCCACGCACTACGCGACACTTGACTACACTAACTCGCCATCTCTCTCTCTCTCTCTTGTTCCTTCTCCGGTATCTCTACAGCTTCTTTTTCCCTCGCCTTACCTCTCTGTCCTCATTCGTTTGTCTCTCTCATTTTCACCCATGCGTCGTTCGTGGTCTCGTTCCATCCCGTCCATCTCTCTTGCACGCATTTACATCACGCGAAATGTACGATCGTCACTCCGGGGCGAGCGTATTACACGGACGCATTTACGCCGCGTACTACGCTCGTTCCGACAGTTTAACATAACAATGTCGCACGAACGTTTCGTCGCACGCGCCCCGAGCGTCAATCATCTCGTCAGAGTCTATAACGTTTGTGTTACGGACTTCATTCTACAGCTTCGTGCCATTTACTTTTAGTCGAATTGATCGACGAACAAATGAATAGGTTTTCTTTTCACAATTCTGTTATTCAATTGGATCTGGACTAGCCGAACAAAAGATAACGGTGCAACGATGATAAGTTGTCCAAACTGGCTCGCAGGACGCCAGCGTGTGATAATCGCGGCGACGACGGATAAGGATCTCGACCGCGAGGATCGTCTCGCGATGATGTTTTGCGCAGTTCTTTCAAAGAAACTCGCCTCCTCGCACGTACTTGTCGCCATCCTGGCGTGACCGCCGTCGAAAGGGGCGGATAGGGGCGGTTGAAGGTGGCGGGTCTCAGTGCGGAAGTATATCCCGTTGTCCATACTGGTGGGGGATCTTTCCCGGACGAGGGGGAAGGCAGAAAGGTGCACCTGGATGAGAAAAAGAGACGCACCGACGTATTTTTCGCCAACTGATCGACGATCCGCACATACACGCTCACCTGGCAGCAACCGGATAACTTCGCGGCAAATACACACATACACACACATATACCTACATACACATACATACACATGCATACACATGCATACACATAGACGCGCGCACCGACCGGAAAGTCAGTGTATTGGTGAGCCGGTGTGGCGGGTGAGAGACGTCGGATAAATTGTCCCCTTCCACACTTCTTTCGCCTCCCCTCTAACGTTGCCGCGGTGGGTGCGGAGCTCGGCTTTTTTCCCCTCCGTGGGCGCGGACTAACCTCGCTCCGCCTCCTCCGATCTCTTCTTCGCTCTTGTCTCTCTCTTTCCCCCCTTTCGATGGGTTGTGTTTGTAGCGCGGCGAGAGTGACTACCGCTGAAACTCGTGACGCCGTCGCCTCTCTCTTTTCGTCGTCACCTCCCGACCGAACGTGCCACTGCACGCCAAGCCGTTACCTCGCGCTCTCGCTCGCCGACAGAGCGACGGAGGTGTTCGTCGACGAGGGAGCGAGATCGAACCGACGACGCGACGGACTCGGTGGGACCCGAAGCGCGACCGGGAGCGAGGAAGAACGACAAAGGGCCGGCAAGGCGGCGGGGGGATCGGGGGGACCAGAGGAGGAAGGGGTGCAGAACCGAGATGTGAAACATTAGTGTACCGTTTGTTAACACCGCGGTCTACACACAATCGCGCGCAAACTCTCCCTCTCCAGGTTTTGTCTTCCCCTTCGTCTTCGCCTCTCTCGCGCTTTCTTTAAGAGGGCGTTGCTGCTCGCGTGTGAGCGCCTTCCTTCTTCGCAAGTGCATCGCATAGAAAATCTCTCTCCAAGACGTTCTGTCTTTCTCTGTCTCTCCTCCTTCGCCCTTCAATCTCCACCTTACTGTTATCTCGCCCCTTTGTTCGTTCGTCTGTTCGATGCCGATTTTCTGCGAATGCAACGGCGAATTTGTCGACGTGCACAGAGAGCGTCTCGACGTAGTAGTCGCTTTAAATGACAACACTGAGATTTCTAAGCTGTCTCTTGTATCCGATATTGGATTTTGTGCTTGCACATGTGTTGATCATCAGAGATCGAAACATCTTCGATTTTGGGATGATATCTGGTGGTGACGACAGAGGATGCAGCACGACAATTATATAGCCGTTTGTCCTATAATGATGTCATCATCATGTTAGGCTATTGACGATAAATCCAGATAACGATATCGATGTTGCAGGAATTCCCATCTCCTCCGACGATAAAGAGTGAACTAAAGTGATGTAATAACTTCGACAAGTGCTGCGCTTTTGGTGACAGCAAGTTATCCGTCAAGTGATTCACAATTATGAAAACTTTAATTTTATACGAGATTCTGTTATTTCGATAGACTCTTGGAAAAGTGTCTTGGCCGTTACTTATGCTTTTGTCGAGATTTCTGCTTTAAGAAATAATCATTATACATATTTAGGATCTTTTTAAACATTTTTGTTATGTGTGTGTCTGTGTATGTGTCGCTGTAGTTAATTTAATTAGGGACTAGTCAATCATAATATACGTATTGCTCATTCAATATTTTGTAGGTACAGACATTTTTTTTCTTATAGCTATAAATTCAATAAGATTTGTAAAGGAATACTTTAGTAATATAATTAACAGTTTCAAATTGATCATCAATCTACATTAAAGAAATAATCACGAATTCATATATTTTCGACACGCACATACGTACAAATTTGAGAGAAACTACTTTATACAGATGTCAGATTATACGTACAAAAGACTCGCCGGTTAAACAACATCGCCGAAAGGCTCGTGAGCGCATAATTCGCGCGATATAGACGTTAAGTGGTACGTTTGACAATTTGCCAGAGTAGAATGTTAGATCGCGATGTGGATCAACGATGCGTATCGGCGATGCACGCGAATGTGTAAAACACACTACGACACGTCGTACCGTAGATGACACGATACACGCGTGTAAAATAGACGGGTTCTCCCCTTGCACCTCCCCTCTCCATTATCCTTCTCCATTTCCTTCTCACACGCGAATCGAGTCGGCAAAGCGCAAGCTGTATGAAAAAGAGCTGTCAGTCCTGGCGATAACCTGCAATTATGGATCGCTCGCGCGCAATAAGTAAAAAGTGTGTGCACGTAATATAATACCGAAACAAAAGAGACTCGTTGTGTTTGACGTCGCGCAAGCAAACCGCGTTGCGTTTTTGCAACTCGTAATTATTTGCACGAAACATCATTGTATGTACATATAGATATGTTAATGCTCAACCGACAGTCCCGCGAAAGCGATTTCCCCTTTCTCGGAGGGGAAAACAGATGCGCACCTTGTTACAATTTTACGATACACATGCAGCGGATAGCATCGCTATTCCCTCTATTCCCTTCCGATCCTTTCGGACGATAGGTACTATAAAATACAGAGCTGCGAAACCTGAAATAAAGAGAGACTGATTATCAGCCATCCAATTCAATTACAATTATGCGTTTGACGTGTAAACCAATTACCATCAATCGTACAAAATACGTAGATAGTAGAAATACTCCTCATCTATCTTTCCTTATTTTACATCCTTCATACGTAGCTACTTTTTATAATTGAATATATCTGTACCTGAATACTATTGAAATAAAAATGTCTTTTTTATTACTAACATATAAATACCTGTACACGAGATCTTTAAAGCGAAGGTTACTTCAGAAGATGAATTCAATCATGGTGCTGTTAAGAAACCCTACAGAGTTCGATGTTCTCTGATTATACAGACGTCATACAGGATGAGAGCGTGCAAGACGACAATCTGAAATGCTCGGCGACCAGTCACGGGCAAGGTCGTCGAAATTGTTGGACAGGTGGCAGCACGACTCGACACAAAGGACGGTTATAGACCGTCCTGGTTGGTATCCACGACGAAGCAAGAAAAGTGGGGAGCTAGTGTGTTATACTAGAGATTCCCAGGTGGAGAGAAGGGGGTGCCGCATCGTGGCCATTCGGCGGCGGCCACCCCTCCGACCTCCCTGCTCCCTCGCTAGAGGCGGAGGGGAGATCCTCTCGACGGTGTGTGCAGCAACGGTTGTCACCGTGTTGAATTACCCGCAAGGGGATTCTACGAGCGAGACGATTCTAATGCCCGGTGCAACAAGGAAAGAATCACGGACGGGTTTATTCCGTTCTCCGGCAGAGTGCGCGCACGTTATATTTTGCATTAATTCTTTCTGGTTGAAAAAGACAACTGGATTTTTCATGTCGGTTAAGAAACACAAGCTGCGAAACATCCGATCTTTCCTGTAAGCGTGTTATGCAATTGAGAATCTCTTATATCACGCCGTTAATAAATATGCGAGTACTTTGAAGATTATTTTCTATTCCACATCGATTGTTTGAGTAAACGGAGAACGGACCGTGTTGTGATACTCTAACTTGTACTACTTACTGAGAAAATTCCATCAATCGATATTTTACAAGTTTATATTTTTTTCTGATACGTATAATTTTATATAAATAATGGTACGTTGGGCCCCTAGAGAAACGCTCTGCTCAAGTCGAGGAAAGATTAATGTTGCTTTTCATGACACGGGACTGTTTCGTTGTAATGAAACGGTGGTTAACACAAGGTTTTCCCGGCCTGACACAATGACTCTCCGGATAAACTTTTATTAAGACCACTCGTCTAGTGTAATAGCACGCTGAGCAGACCTACCGCACGGCTCCACCTCATAAATCAAGAGCG